GAAAATTTACATCTGATAGGACATAATAAACAGACTTCATAAACAATTCCTGGATTTCAGGGGGGGGGCTGAAGCCCCCTCAGCCACCCCCATAAATACGCCGCTGACTGATACCATCATATACCTTCGACATTGTGATAAATCTAACACTACATAGCTATAAAATAACTTGTACAACACTGTTTTACCTTATTTGTTATCTAGCAAATAAATTAATAACTATTTTACACATGAATAATATATTTTAAAAATAATTTAACCTGATAGTTGAAATATTGGCCATACTATTAAAATATAAGGACTTACACAGCAACTTGTGACATTTTTTGACCAGCAGTTGCCCCATAAAACAGACTGGGTCTTACATAAAATATTAAATATACAAATAAAGGTCCAGCATATTCTGCCATAAATACAGTAGACCATCCAATTTGAGGCCCCAAGTCTTTAACATAAAGTTTTGATCCATTTTTTAATCCTAGAAAAAAGTATGTAGCTATTAATACAATTTGTTACTTCATAAACAATTACAGATATTATATTATTATTTAATAAGTAATTATTATCTATTGAATAAAATAATTATTAAGAAGTTTAAATGAATAATTGATTTTCAAAATAAAAGAATACAACTTCATGTTGAGCAGGAAATATAATATTATAAATGTATATTCTCATTTACCAATTCATGAATTAAAAAAATAATAATATTTATTAAGAGCCTTTGTTATGAATTTGTCTTCAATTCCCTGTAGAAGAGATATATACTKATTATAAACTACTTATAATTGTATTAATTAAAATTATTGTTGATTGTAATACCTTATATTATTATTTTTATATTTATGTATATCATTATTTTTGTATTAATGTCAATTATTTATTACATACCTACCTTATTTAATAGCTATGTAAGTAACAGATACTCTACAGTAATTTAATAAACCTAGGCTTCTACAATAGTTTTCTTAGTGAAGCTCAGTATTCTCAAGAGAATTTCACTTAAAATAAAAATTTACATTTAACTTTTCCATACTAACCTAAATCTTTAACTTTGTCAGTATCCTTTAAAGTTTTCCCTCTAGCTTCAAGCCTGATGGATTGTCTGTCTGGATATAAAGCAGATTTTATTTTGCTAATGCTTCTCTTTATATCACTTATTTGAGAAGCATCAGTTACCTGAAAAAATTAAATGTATTTAAATTGTATAAAGATAATATCTCACTAAGCATAACATTAACATACCTTTGACCTATAAATAAACATTTACTTAAACCTGTACATTTCATAAAAAATACACCTAAGAAGTTATCCTTATAAGCAATTTAAAATATGGCTATCATGTCTTGATCATTCTACCAACACAATATATATTTTTTTTCAAGTTACATAATATAAATAATTTTGATTTTTATAATATATGCATCAAATTTTATTTATAAAATTCAGTTAGATAGATGAGGAGTTTTTATTAAATTAATTACTGAAACAAAAATCGAATCAATCAAATTCTTCACGCAATTCAAAAATAATATATTTTAATTTAAACAACAAGCCTACTTTTTGTTGGATCAAACAATGTGTTTTAATATCTAATATAATAAAAACAAATTAATTTTAATATAATATTAGTAGCAAAAAAAATATATTGTTATATATATAGTAATACTGTAATAAATTTAATACTATAACACTACTGCTACAATTATTGTTATTATTATATTATATTTTGACTATTTATAACAAATTTGCTATCCTTATTATTATAAATAAAATTATCTTCTGTTAAATAATGTTAAAAAATGTATTTTTTTAATTTAGATTAACACGTTGACTGCCATGCGGCCGCCGGCATCCGTATAATAATAATTAGGTATTGATAATTTTTAGACCGCCGGCTGCCGCACTATATCATT